TATACCTCAAAAAGGTCTTTTGAAGGGTTGTAACGTGGTTAGGCTAAAGGTTGAAGAAGAAAGGGATAAAGGCTCAAGACCCTAAATAAGCCCCCAAGGTGTGCAACCTTGCTTTTGAGTCTTTATATTTTTATGCTTGAGTTTCTACTCTTTTTTAGCTTTCTTTCCTTGTTTTAGCATTTATTTTATTTTTATAAGTGTGGGAAATCCCGATCATGCGGTCTATCACTCACTTGGCATTCATGTTTCTCAGGCACGGTACAGAGCACTCGATAAGAGACACAATCTGAGACGTGTTCATACCAAAGATATTTTCATATCAAAGACATTGGAACACTTACCCTTTTGTACACCTTTATTATTATTACTATTGCTTTATTATTTTTTTGAAATCACTCAAGCTTTTGAAGTTTCATATGTTACACACCATCCCATCCCAAGGTTAGGTAGATGTGGGTTGAAAAAATGAAAGGTCTATCGTTAGACAAGGCTCAAAGTGGTTTATGAAGAAAGGATTGTAAATTAGAAAGGTGAAAAGTAATATGATGTGGCTACAAGGGGTGCCTCAAATCATTGGTATACCTCGTGCTTAGTTTGACATGGATTTTTTTTTTTTTTGTAATGAAATGATCATATGCAAGAAAATAAATGCTCATTTTATTAAAAAGTGAAGGGGAAAAGAAAGAATCTACAAAATTATTCTAAGGGAAAAGCAAGGTGTCTATGCTAGACTTATTGGGGAAAGGGTAAATAAAGAAAAAGAAAAAAGATGTCATGAAATCTCGTCGTTGAAGCTCACCTCTTGTCTTGTGTTGTTTGCTTTATCATCACTCGCTCTTCTTGTTAACTGGAGGTATGGGAAGCTTGTTATTATCAATCAAGTGTTGGATAGCCTCCTTTAGCTTCCAACAACTCTCAATAGCATGACCCTTACCTTGATGGTACTTGCAGCGCACATTTGGATTCCAACTAGGCAATATCTTCTCAAGCGGGGGATCTTGAAGAGGTCCAATAGGAGTAATTGGCATGGAGTCCATCGAAAGCATCATCGTAGCTAATTCCAATAGGGTTAAAATCCTTTTTTTGTTGCTTTCTAATCCTCGATTATCCATGGCTAAGATCTCATTAAGGTAGAAAGTACCGACACTGTTACTAGAGTAGGTGTTTTCGGAAGAAGAAGGATAGTCTCTCTTCTTCCCTTTACAACCACTGTTACTATCGTTACTAATCTTGGCCTTCTTGTCGCGCGGAGGAACATGAAGGAGATTTGAACCAATGAAGTCTTGAACACGATCCTTGAGGGCGAGACACTTTTCAGTAGTGTGACCGCGACCTCTATGGTATCGAAAATAGGAATTTAGATCCCAATTGGGAAAATGTTTTTCAGTTGGAGAGTCTTGACTGGGACCAATGGAGTGAATAAGAACTTGATCGTGAAGACAGTCAAAAGCTTCATTGTAAGTCATTGCTATTGGTGTTTATTCTTCAATGGTCCGTTTTGCCCGTGTCTTAGGAGCATTGAGTTCTTCATTAAACCCTTGGCGAGAATTTTGTTCGATGGCCATCACCCGATTTGCTAGTCCTTCTACCATATTCAAGAACATGGCAACGACATCTTGCAGTTTTCGGACGTCCTCTTCTAGACTTGACAAGTCTTCCCTGGTATTATCTAAGAAAAGACTTTCATCCTCCTCAATCATGGCCATTTCGTCGAGAGAGGTTATATAAGCTGTCTCGATCATGGGTTCTCCTACAGGTGTGATAAGAAGTGATGGATCGAAGGATGCTTGATCTTCTTCGATGGCTAGAATTTCAGAAGTTTCATTGTTATCGATCAGATCTTGAATAGCTTCTTTGAGTTTCCAACACTCCTCAGTGTCGTGACCCTTTCCTTGGTGATATTTGCAGTGCTTATTGGGGTCCCACTTTGGTGGCCTGGCCTCTGGAACTGGATCTTTGATGGGCCATGTGGGCATGACTAGTCCTTTGTGATGTAGCTTCTCGAAAGTCGTTTCATAACTCATGCCAAGTGGGGTGAACACTCTTTTTGACCTTTGGATTCGCGATTTAGAGGTGTTCGTAGCATGTACCTCATTAATGGGAGAGGAAGAAGAAGTATGGTCGTTCTTCTTTCCTCACGCACTATTATCTTTCAGATGGTCATCTTCAATGTCAATGCCTATATTATAGACAGCCTTGAAAGTATTCAAATTATGTTGGTACTTTAAGTGCCTTGAATACTTCCCTTGGAGATTCTTGATAAACATCCTCACAAATTCCTTTTCGATAGGAGCCTTGACCATGTTAGCGGAATTTTCCTTCCATTTATTGAAGAAAGAAGTGAACCCTTCGTTTTCTTTTTGTTTTAACATCTCGAGTTGTCTATGGTCTGTTTCGTCTTGGATGTTGCACTTATATCTATCTATGAAAGCGTTTGCTATGGACTCCCATGTGGAGGTTTTTTCTTTCTCGAGAGAAAAGAAGCATTGCTGGCAAACGGTCTTGAGGGATAGTGAGAACAGAGAGGGGAAAACCTTCTTATCGATACCCTAATGCTCATTGTAGTTTCAAAATCTCTTAGATGAAAGTAAGGGTTATCTGTTGCCTTTAATTTAGGGATGTCAGTGGCATTGAACTTATGCGGAAGAAGTTCCTTGTCTAGCTAGACCCCTTGTGAACTAATGCCCTGAAATTTATAGTCACTAGATAGCTTGCTCAAGCTTTCTTGCATGAGGTTCATTTGTTGTTGCTTCACAGGGTCATCAATTTTGAGGGTTAAAGCCTTTAACACCTCGGTCACGTCATTCAATTGATTCCTAAGTTCATTGACCTCTTCTTGACTTGCCATTATCTTTTTAGCCTTCCTCTTTTGACGAATTGGTTTATCAAAAAGTGAGACTTGAATAAAGAGGTTGTCCTTGATTAATCGCCCTTCTCTCCTCGACCAAGTACTGTGGAAAAGGAATTTGGGGATATTTATTGTTAATTATTTGACTCAAACTTTATTCAACATGCAATGGATGGAGGAAGTGAAGAAAGATTGGAATAGAATGTGAAGAAAAATGATGTAGATGGAGGGATATGGAAAATTAGGAATAGAATGTACCCCCAACTCAAATGACGGAAAAAACCAACTCATGCATGAACCTAAGACATGCCCTTGGTGATATGTACTCAAAGTATGTGCTAAGACTAGTGAGTGTAGGTGACATACTTGGACTCGTGTCACGACCATGTGGCTAGACTATGTGACTAGATTCAATTAATGACTTAACAAGGTATGATTAACAGAATTAATTAGCAAATTGTTTAATTAGACAAAAGGTGATGACTCGATCAATAAACCGAACTGTCGCCAAAACGACAGGACTGGCGCCTCACTGTGTAGTGTAGCACCAGACGACAGAGTTGTCGCCAGGCGCCACACTCCACAGAGCGGCGCTACAGTTCAGACTTTGGCGCCATTACTGGAGCTTCAATCTGAGACTGTTTTCGGTGTTATTAATCAACAGGGGTATGCCTAAAGTCGTACTAGGTCAATTCTGATTAAAAAATTAGACTTTATTTATTCAAATTAATTAATTAGGAAAAGTTCTTTAAGTCATTAATTTATTTAACCTCAACACAAGTCAAACAAACGGTTAAGAAAACATAGTATATGCACAACAAATAATGCACAATTAGTCAAGTAGGCACAATATGATGCAATGAGTTTGCAACCTAACCATGGCTCTAGTTCTCTAAAGTTCGGGATATGGTTTAGTCAATAGAGGGTCCATGGTTAATTGTCCGGATGCACCGCGCGGAAGCCTAACCGTGAAGGGTTGGCGCGAGTTGATGGGACACCGCGAGTTTTTAGAAAAAACTCACTTCCATGGTTTGGTGAATTCAACAATCTCGGATGTACCCTTTGTTGCTCAGAGCGTCCAAGTCCGACGATATTATTTCCGTCGTAAATTTGGTTTACGACGGAATTTCCGTCGTAAAATGGCCATTTTCCTACAAAGGGTTTTCCGACAACCATTTACGACAGAATTCCGTCGTAAACCAAATTTACGACGGAATTTACATAGTTTACGACGAACTTTTTCCGTTGCAATTTTGTTGTTTTCTTGTAGTGAATTCCCAGGGGGTTATATTCATATGTAGAACACATATGGGTTTCAGAAAAGTGATAAAGACTCAATCAGAAAGTAGGATTGAGCAAACAATACGAAAAACTGGTCGAAATTAGAACGCATATTTCTGGCTCGGTATTGGAAGAATTTGGCGCCAGCAAACAGAGATTGGCGCCGGATTTTAGCTGTAGCGCCTGGCGACAGAACTGTCGTCTGGCGCTACAGTTAAAAGTCTGGCGCTAATGCCCTGGTCCCTGACGCTAATTCCTACATGCCTCAGCAGCTTTCTGTGCTCGATAAAATTTTCCAGTTTCGCGCAGTGTTATTTCGGTCCTAGTTGTGAAAGATATTCCTCAAATTTCCTATGTGTAAAATCCTATGTTTTAACTCATTACGGATGGTCTTTCCATTGAGATCTTTTTTATGCATATGACAATAATGTTAATCAAAATTACGCACATGAAATACTTAGAACGTTTCGAGTCTCATCCACTCATTCTAAATCATTGCCGAAACAAATTCAGGAATTAAAATAGAAATCTTCCCCAGTGGAGTCGCCAAAAACTGTAGCGAATATTTCAAGCATTACCCCTAGCTTGAACCTCACTGTGATCATACACTAAAGTACGGTGGCGTCCAAAGGGAAAGAAGATAAAGCAAAAGAGTCGCCAACAAGTTTTTTAAGGAACTTGTAAACCGTTCACGAGGTGAAGGTTACACCCCTTAACGATCCAAGAGATCGTCAACTCCATAAGGTCTTGAACCAAATAGGGTTCGGGGATGAAGGTACAAATCCAACCTAAAAGAGATTGAACCTGCCCTAGTAATAGGCCTCTACTTTATTCTGATCGTATTCATGTGCGCTTTCTGACTAACATGCAATCAATAGGATTTAACCCTAAACCTGTTTAATATATGTTGGTTGAATATTAATGCAAAAATAAATCTATTATTGGCCCGAGTATTTTCTTGCTCAACCACTTTCCGCTTACGCTCGCTACGAGTATGTTGCAGGTAATCCACCTCATCCACGTACTCACCACCTTCTAACTCATCTTCTGGATCATCTTCTTCGACCTCTTCTTCATAATCATCATCTTCAGAACTTCCATCACTGACCTCATTTATATCCTCAAGGTCTTCCTCTACATCATCAACTACTTCATCCTCGACTACAACTTTCAATTTCCTCTTATTCGTTTGTTTTCCAGAAGAAGCCACAAGTACCTTTTTCATGATTTTTTTCAAGATACCCTGCAAATTCAAAATCATAAGGGCAATAAATTAGACACAAGTACCAGCTAATTGAGCTAATTCACCTGTCAATCTAATACAACACAACTTCATTACTCTCACCCCCCAATTACGTCTGCAGCTTATGGAGGAGTCAGCAATGGAGGAGTCGGCATACCTCTCCCTCTCCGACAGCATGACTAACAAAATAGGCAAAATACATTTCATTAAATATAGGAGTTGAAATCCCCCATTACACACAACAACACCTTCCCCCCCCCCCCACCAACCCCAACCCCCACACACACATATCCATAATGAAACACCATGTACACATCAATGGTGTTTCGCAAAAAGAAACAACATGAAAGAATTTACAAGATCAATATGGTACCCCCTATCGACTGGTGTAGGGAATATTTCAAGCATTACCCCTAGCTTGAACCCCACTGTGATCATACACTAAAGTACGGTGGCGTCCAAAGGGAAAGAAGATAAAGCAAAAGAGTCGCCAACAAGTTTTTTTTAGGAACTTGTAAACCGTTCACGAGGTGAAGTTTACACCCCTTAACGATCCAAGAGATCGTCAACTCCATAAGGTCTTGAACCAAATAGGGTTCGGGGATGAAGGTACAAATCCAACCTAAAAGAGATTGAACATGCCCTAGTAATAGGCCTCTACTTTATTCTGATCGTATTCATGTGCGCTTTCTGACTAACATGCAATCAATAAGATTTAACCCTAAACCTGTTTAATCTATGTTGGTTGAATATTAATTCAAAAATAAATCTATTATTCGCAATCACTTGAATTATAATCATATTAACCCTAAACAAGATTATTAAATATCTTATTAAGCGTGATTACAAGTATCAAATTCCCTTTAAATATGCATAAAAGGCGTGATTAAGCAATAACAATAAATATCAAGCAACATAATAATCATCATAATAACAATTATAATAATCATGTTAAAACATAATAATAGCAAGATCTTAGGCATGATACTAACGAGATTAATAACAAACCCTAGCATGTCACTAAGCAATAAAAATCAAAGCTTTAGCCCTAACATGATACTAACAATCATAAATATTTGGAAGAACATAAAAGGCATCATACTTTTAATCATACTTAATCTTAAATTTACCCTAGACATGATACTAGGAATTTATTGTTGTCACCCTAAACATCAAATTAAGGAAAACATCTTAACATGATACTAGGAATCAAAATAACAATCTAAGCATGATTTCTATATCATAATATCAATTAAACCATTAAAGTACTTACTTGGATGCCTCGTACCCCTTTCTAATAACAAAATACACACGTTAGTAACTTCAAGGAAAATAATAAACAACCATTAAATTAAATAATTGAAAGAGAGATTAGGGACCAAACCCTCAGAAATTAAACCTTCCACGTCTAGGGCGAAGGCAACTTCGAATATGGCTAGGTGTTTCTAAATCTAATGAATGCGGAATTTTTATATTTGAGAGAAGGCTAGTTTAGAAGAGAGAGAGAGAGTAATCAAGAAAATCTTGATGAGAGTTGGTGAGAATTAGAAAGAATAAGAATTAATGAATGAAAACGGAGTTTTTGGAACGCTATTTATAGAGAAAATCAGCCAAAAAGATAAAAAACCAAAACAGAGTTCTGACGCGGATAAAAATTGATTAGCGGCAACGCCGACCATTGCACCAGACGCCAACATTAACACCAGGCGCTAATGTTTGGCGTTAGGCACTAATCCCTTTTTTGACGCGTTTTCTAAAATCAAATAGAAATTTAACCGTACAGGAGGATAAAATCGTATTTTCCTCAAAAACGTTCTTTGATTCTAAATAAAACTCTAAAAAGTCAACAAAAGTCAATTTATCAGTGCTAATTGAATTAGGAATGAAAAGAACCTTCTAGAAGAATCTAGAAGACTAAAACCATTCCTAATTGCATTAGGAATGATAAATCCATATTAGGCCCTTCTCTAGATCATTGGGCCGCATATAAGGCTCAAACCGGGCCCAGTTCAGTAATTTGGCCATAACTTCCTCGATATTCATCGGAATTGGGCTTATAATATATCGTTGGAGAGCTCTTTTCAAACCCCATCCAACTACACTACTATTGGACCCATATCATGGACCAACTAAACTGGATTTGCTGTTTTCTTAAAATAGGTTTTAAAAAACAGAGAGAAGAGAAAAGAAATTAAAGTTTTCCGCAACACTAAGCTTTCCACACTTTCACTTCATTCGATTATGATTCGACGTGAAAGGTACTCATCACTGGGTTTGGTTTTGGGGAGACACAAATGGGTGTCTACAACTAGAAACACATAAAATTCAATATATGCCTACTCAACCACAACATGATGGTATAATCCTGCATATATATGACTACAAACCAATACCAACCACACACCTGATGGTATAAATATAATACCAACACTGCATATTAAAGCACCATTATCGAGTACTACATAAATTAGGCAATTTGCGCCCATTATATATCAATCACATAACCAATTCTACCACACATAACTATCATTAATCCAACTTAATAATTGAAAAATAACAACAACAACAACACACCAAGAAATCCAATTTTACGCCACACATACTCCATTCCAGAATACATATTAAACTCATAACAATCCCAAAATCACACAATTAAATCATCACAGAAATTCATTCCAGAAATTCCACACACTAATTTGACTCTACAAACTTCACTTTCCTGAACACTCAAAGTCCAATGATAGATTTCAGACATCTAAAAAACCTGACATGGCACAACAGGTCAGGCAAATAAGAAATTGATTTCCACAACAAGGTAACTAACATAACAATATAAGACTTGTTAAAAAGTCTTAAGCACCAAAAGACAATTAAAAATAGTCAAATGAGCAAAAACAAAGACCCTACCTATACTCCATTCCAATTCATTCCAGAAAACAATTTACAAATACTCCATTCCAGAAATTCACGGCTATAAATCATCAAATTTCAACAATTTACAGATGCAAAATACTAATTTTTAATTAACCAACAAAACATCCTAATTCATCATTATAAACCCTAACTATAAAAAATACAAAAAATACAACATACTTACCAAAATTTATTCGAAAATCCTACTTCCGGCACCGCGAAAACCCCACCGAACCGAACCACAAACCGTTGGATCATCCCCTTCACCTTGAATTCTTCAGAATTTATTGAGAGTTTCTTCGTGTCCTTCTTCGTCTTCTCGCGTACAAATAAAAACCCTCTTTCAATTTTTCACTCCACAGTAGCAGACCCTCAAAATGCTTTCTCTCTCCACTTTTTACAATTAAAAATTCAAAACTTTTTCTGAAGACAAGAGGACTTCATACTCTGCGTTTCTAGCTTTTAGGTGAAATTACCTTCTTACCCCTATTTGAGACCAAGTTGGTCTCAAGTAGAGGTGTCCACCGTGCGAGTCGTGCGAGCTGGGTTAGGGTTAGGTGGGTCGCGGGTTGGGGTTTCATGACACACGGCACGACACACGTAGGGTAGGGTGGGCCGGGTCGTGGGTTGGGTCGGAGAAGTTGGACACACCAGGGTTAGGTTCGTGGGTTAGACGAGTCGTGGGTGGGTCGAGCTGGGTTTGTGGGTTAGACGGATCGTGGGTGGGTCGAGCTGGGTTTGTGGGTTAGACGGGTCATGGGTGGGTCGAGCTAGGTTCGTGGGTTAGACGGGTCAAGGTGGGTTAGTGAGTTAGGGTGGGTCGAAGGGTGGGTTAGTGGGTTAGGGTCGGGTGGGTTTGTGGGTTAGGTGGGTTAGGGTCGGGTGGGTTAGTGGGTTAGGGTCGGGTGGGTTTGTGGGTTAGGTGGGTTAGGGTCGGGTGGGTTTGTGGGTTAGGGTCGGGTGGGTTCGTGGGTTAGGGTCGGGTGGGTTGTGTGGTGTTTTAATTTTTACAAAATTAACAATTTGATGGCTTGCTCTTAATTAAGATGCCTACGTATCCTTATATTATAAAATAAGGAATCAAAGCCAGCGTAGTTCTTATATTGTACTTCTTTTGAAATTTGGGGGGGGGGGCTTGGACCTATCTTTAGAAAACTAAAATTTAATTTTGCAATTAAATTGTAAATGCAGGTTGTAATGCAACTTTATTAAAATGCTCAACGTTTGCATTTTCACCGTAACTAAAAGGGTATTCATTAGCAATAACTAAAGTACTCATTTCATCAATCATTCTATCTTTATTATAAATGAAAGGTGTACCTCCGCCGGGTTGGTTCATGTATCCACCCAATTGTGTTTGGACGCCACCCCCCGAAGGACGGGGGCCATTTTCGAACAAGTCGTGTTTATTTTGCAAATGCCGACTCAAGGTTCCGGTTCCATCTCCCGTTTTCCAATTATATGACTTGACATTTGCACCTAGCGCCTTGCAAACTAGGCATGTACACGTGAACCTCTTTGGTTGACCAGGTTGCCATCCCGGGGGTGTGACCTCAACTCGTTCAAAATGTTTCCACACCCAAGAAAAATGTGCTCGACCTCTACTTTCACCGCCACCACCTTTCATAAATCAAATTATTAAAATTAATTTTTAAATGCTATTCATGAAAATAAGCTTTTAAATTTTAAATATTTTAATTATACTTATTTAAACGCATTTTTCATGGTAATTAACTAATTGTAAATCATAGAAAATTGGAAACTAAACTAACTTTATAATCATTAATAATAGTTTTTTTTTTAAATATTCATAACAATAAAAATTTAATTAGAAATTACCTTGAGATGAAGGTTGAGATGTTGGTTGCGATGGAGGTGGCATAGTTGAACTTGATGATTGGTGGGACTCGTGGGAGAAATGTTGTGGTGGAGACGTTTGAATATTTTGCCTATCTCCTAAACCATAATCTCCATATTCATTGACAAATTGGTTTAAATTTTCCGTATTAATTTCATACGAAAAATTTGCACCACCACTCCTTTGGCTACCACTTCGACCACCACTTTGACTCCTTCCCATTCCTCCTCTTGAGCTCATTTTTTTTTGTATGATTACTAATTATAATATGGAGAAGAAGTTTTTTTTTTTTTAGAATCTTAAGAATACTAATAATAATATTAAGGAGATTTTTTTAACAAAAATATAACTCTATATAACACTTGAGAATTTGAGAACAATAAGAATTTTTAAGTAAGAGAGAAAGAAAGCTTGAATTTGTGTGGAAATTTGAGTGAAATGGAATTGGTATTTATAGGAAAAATAGAATGGATGATCATACACTTAAAAAACTAGCCGTTAGATACAAAAAACTAGCCGTTAGATACAAAAAACTAGCCGTTTTTTTTTTAAAATGGATGTTAGGCCGTGCGGGCCGTGCGGGTCGTGCGAATTGTGCGGGCTGTGCGGGCCGTGCGGGTTGTGCGGGCCGTGCGGGTTGTGCCGACCGTGCGGGTTGGGTGGGTCATGCGTGCGGGTTGGGTGGGTCATGCGTGCGGGTTAGGTGGGTTGGCTCGTGCGGGTTGGGTGGGTCATTCGTGCGGGTGGGCCGTGCGGGCTGGGTTGTGCCAGGTGGGTCGGGTTAGGTGGGTTCACGGGCTAGGTGTGTCGAATTAAATGAGTCAAAACGGGTTGTGCGATTTGGGTCGAATCAAACGGGTTAAACTGAGCTGGGTTGAAATGGGTTGTGTCGAAAATTTTGGACCCACGACACAACCCGGATTAAATCCGAGCTGTGCCGGGCTGTGCCGGATTGAAACCGGGTCGGACCCACGTGACCCACCAGCCGTGCGAGTTAGGGTGGGCTGGGTCCAACCCGGCCCACTGGCCACCTCTAGTCTCAAGTAGGTAGAAACCAAGAAATGCTATTTTGAGTATTTTCAATATTCATTAAGCCCTTGTTAGTCGTTACCAAAGAAAGCCAGAGTTTTGGGGGAAGAGCAAAAAAGAGGGGTGAATCAAGCGGCTAGGTTAGTCAGTTTCTCTAACACTCAACTGCGTTTTTTTTACGAACTCACTCACGCTCAACTGCGTTCATCTAACGCTTACATTGCAATCTCTTTCCATTTTAATACCCCCAATTCTCTTTTCTGCATGATTTTCAATTATTCTTCTACTCTTTTTGTTTTCTCTTCATAAAATTGTTGATACGAAGTATTATATTTGGGTGATTAACTTTTTTCCTTAATTTTTTTTGATGTTTTTGTTTGATTTGATTAATTTTGATAAACCCCTCTTAATATTATGTTTTATTGGTTGTATTTTCAGTTCTAATGTCGAATTTTACATCTCTTACGAATTTGGGTCAAAACCCAAATCCCAACAAATCATATGAGGTAAGTTTTCAATTTTTTTTTATTGATCTTTTTATTTAAGGTATAAACCCTAATGTAGATTGTTTTATTGACTGTCTATGAAAATACAAGCAAATAACTACAATGTAGTTGTAATTTTTGGATGAATAATGAATTTATGATGAAAATTTGGGTTAATTTATGAACTCCCAGGTGCCTCAACCACCAGCTGATTCAATTTCTAGCCTTAATTTCAGTCCCAAAGCCAATCATCTTATAGTTACTTCATGGGATAATCAGGTTGGTCTTCTTTAATATATTTTTTTACATTTTCCCATTATTGCTATATAATTGTCCTATGATTTTGTGGTGTGCTTTATTTCTTCTTTACAGTAGTGTTGCATTCTTTTATTGGGTTGCTGTGTTTGCACACACTCGATTGCGATTATGGACAAGGTTAATGTAGTATTAATTGGTGAACATTGGTTGTTGGTTATGCAAGCTTAGTTAGCTTGTTTATAATTTGTCTTTTTATACCAAGCTTTAACTACTCTATTAAGTGTATTATCACTTAATAAGGTTGGAATGAGCCGACCCCACTTATAGGAGTAACCGATTAAGGCTTTGATTGATTACTTAAAAACGTTGTGCATAATATTAACAATGCCGGTAGCTGGGGCTTAGCCCCTCTTTTGCACCAAAAAAAAAAAACCGATAGCTACTGATAATGAGTGTAGTAGCTATCGGTTTTTTTTTTTTTTTTCATTACATAGTATACCCTACAAGCATTTTTTTTCCTTGTTTGTTAGATTTACATATATTGAGTGTAGCTTAACTTACAGTGTATATTAGATCAGTAACTAGTTTGTGACTAAATTGCTTGGCTTGGCACCTAGAAAGCTAGATCAACAACGGTTTTATTTCCATGCTTTCCACAATAGAGGGTGGAAGATATGCGATGACTAAAACATGATAACAAAGTGAAAATGAAAAGAACATTTGGCTTTGAGATGGCACCTTTGTTGAAGGGAGTTAGTAATATGTGAGAAAGTATATATCTTAACATGTTTTAATTGAAAAATGTTGCAAAATTGGCTTGTTAAGTATTTGACTATTTATTAGCCATCTCGTCTTGGATGCATTGTTACATACACAAAGTATAATAGAGCATTTTGACTTGAAGTTGTCGCTAATATGTTTTCCTGCATTTGATCTTTTATATGATTTGTAGGTGCGTTGTTGGGAGATAATGCAAAGCGGAGCAAATGTCAATAGTACACCAAAGGCTGCCATATCTCATGATCAGCCGGTAATAATTCATTAATTCTACAAACTTAATCATGGATTAAGATAGTAATGTCTGTTAGAGTGTTAGTTGCCCCTGTGCATGGGATTTTAATAAACCATTAACCAATGAACGTTGTTGTAGGTATTGTGCTCGGCTTGGAAGGATGATGGAACAACTGTCTTCTCAGGAGGCTGTGACAAGCAGGTGAAGATGTGGCCTTTGCTGTCTGGTGGGCAACCAATTACTGTGGCTATGCATGATGCTCCAATTAGAGAGATGGCCTGGATTCCTGAGATGAATGTTCTGGTTACTGGGAGCTGGGATAAAACGCTTAGGTGAGAACTGAATGTGTTTGCTCTTTTTCTCTCTTTTATGTACTCTAAGGAAATAGAAGTACTTACTGGTGCTTTGTTGCTGATATCCAGACTTTTAAACTTGTTACCTTTGCTTTGATATGGATTAACTTCGCATGCATAATCCATTTGCACGAGTTATTTCAACAAGCAGGGATTATATCTAGAGTGCATGAATTAGTCATAGCTAAATGGAGAAATGACTTCATTGATGGACATAGTTTTCTTTGAGCTTGACAAAGCTAAGACTTCAATATAATGTTTGTGTTTTCACCTTTGAACTTGTAGCTTTGACACTAGTTAAATTGCTGAATGGAAACTCTGTTTTCAACTACCTCATGACTGATCACATTGCAAACTGAAAGATGATAATAGAAGAGTATCTTCTGTTTCATTGCAATTATTTTAAGATTATCAACTGAGCAGTTTATTTTCAGGTACTGGGACTTAAGGCAACAAACTCCCGTCCATACCCAACAACTCCCAGAGCGCTGCTATTCTTTAACAGCACGGCATCCTCTTTTGGTTGTTGGAACAGCGGATAGAAATCTCGTAGTGTTCAATTTGCAGAACCCTCAGGTGACTTGTTTTTTGAGACTTCCATTTCTGTTCTTTACAATCTTTGTTTCACTTTATAAATACTCCATCAAACTTCAGTTCACTCACTATTTTCTTTATTTAGTGGTTAGATTTTAGAAATATCGTTAGTCCCTGTGTATGAAAGTTAACCTTGAGTAAGTGAGTTTACTTAGTGAAAACGTGTGTGGTACTACATACAACTTTTATTTAATTGTGTTTCTTCAAGATCCCTCTTTCTTGAGAACAAAGGAATAAATTTAATTGACTTTATATGGATTTCTGTTTGTGCCGCATTTACACTCCTCGTTTCCATAACATTGGGAGAAAGGGATTCTTGATTCTGCAATTGGAAAACTTCAGTTGCAGAAGCTGTAAACAATCATAAACTCGCTATAATGTAAAAATATTATTTGATATCCTGGTTCATATTATTTGCTCTTCCAGATTGATGGTAAATGGATCTCAGTTTGGTGGATGAAAACAATGTTCAAGCAAGGCTGCCAGGGTGTTACCATTTCTTCTTTATGCAGTGATGGCTAACTATTTATGCAGTTTACACTACCGTTTCTATTTTGGTAGACTTTTGGGTTTTTTGTTTGGGGCCAAACTGGGGCTATATTAAATTAATTCCTTTAAAAGCTTAGTTTCACTTGTTCAATCCATTGATTTGTTGCAGTTGCTCAACTCTATTAATTTGAGATGCTTGTGTATCAATTATTTGCTGCAATCAGTTTAATTTTACAGTCATATGTATCTTCCACTGACAGGCTGAATTCAAAAGGATAATGTCACCACTGAAATACCAGACAAGGTGTCTTGCTGCTTTTCCTGATAAACAAGGATTCCTGGTAAGAATTTACTCCACTTATTTTCTTTTATAGAGAATGATACAACCTTGTCTCCTGTGGGTACTGGGTAGTTTTGATTACAATAAACTTGAAGTATGCCTACAGACTATAGTAATTGGCAAATCTATTAAACTTTATGATCCTCCATTTGATATTTAATGCTTATTTCTTGTCTGAAGCAGAGTTAATTATGCTAAACAGCAAAATGCTTGATACCAAGATAGATGCTTATCTTAATTGGGGAAATTATAAATTACATGCTGCTGAGAAGTCATAGCTCTTAAGATAAGAGACTCACCTTTTTCGCATCTTCACCTACGGACTGTTTTAGCCCTTTAATTTCTAAATGTAGACAAACTTTTGAAATGAAAAAAAGAATGTTCTGAATGTTACTAAAATTTGGCACTCTAATTTTGGAAAAGCTTATGGGTCAAGTGCTTTCTATCCAAGTTCATGTTTGACAAAGCCATTCTCACAGGACTTCATTTATGAATGTGGTCTCATTTATGAATGTCAACGCTATCAAGCATAATAAATTATAAAAATATGTACATCACTGTGTTGTATGTTCACAAAAGATTGCTGTTTGAGGAATGTTTAGTGAAGCAAAGTTTAGCTTTTCTGCTTCTATCATTTGTCCATATTGAAGGATTTACTTCATTGTTGTGTCTATAGGCTTGTTAGTTGTCATATCTTCCTTTAGCTATCAGAATTCAATCACTGAAGGTTCTGCTTCTGTTTGATTATTAAAACCTTTTCTTTTTTCTGTGACTCATTTCTTGTTCCGGAGTCCGGACTGAAGTTTTGTGATTCTCGTCATTTTAGTTATAATACCTTTTTTCTTGTGATTGGGCTTTCTTCTGTCTTTTCAATGCTATACATGCTATTCTGATATCTGTTGAATTTTATCGTCTAAATGTCCAGGTTGGATCAATTGAGGGACGAGTAGGAGTTCATCACCTTGATGATGCACAACAATCCAAGAACTTCACTTTCAAATGTCACAGAGAGGGCAATGAGATTTATTCTGTCAACTCTTTGAACTTCCACCCTGTAAGCTGCATCTTTGATTTCCTGTAATTTATGCAAACATAACTGCCTTACTTTTTAAATAAACTCATTGCCTTTCTGTTCTCAACTTGTTGGTAAATGGCTATAAGCTGTAGGGCTTTAACATTAAAGATTTAGTTAGTTTTTAAGCTAATCTTCCTCCTGCTCTCTCTCTCTCTCTCTTTTTATCCAGGTACACGGCACCTTTGCAACTGCAGGATCTGATGGTGGTTTTAATTTCTGGGACAAAGACAGTAAACAGAGGCTGAAGGTATCTAGGAATATTGTGCACTTGGTCATTGTTTTGGATGTTGTTTTACTCCCATATATTACTGGTCATTAATAGCACTATGCATTTTTAGGCAATGTCAAGATGCAGTCAACCAATAACTTGTAGTGCATTCAACAGTGATGGATCTATATTTGCATACTCGGTATGTCCTTAATATGCTTACAGAGTCTCAGAATTCCAATTCATGTCAAATTTTTTAGTTTGCGTTCATCTTCTTCTACAATTAGTAGTATTTACTGAGTCTCTTTGATTTCTATTGTAGTCATGTTACGACTGGAGCAAAGGTGCTGAGAACCATAACCCAGCAACAGCCAAGTCTTACATATATTTACACTTACCACAGGTATGATTCAGTCTAATCACCTATTAAAATGTTTCTGTCCGAGTTCACGATTTTGAGGCTTTACCTTCTGTAAATTTCTGTAGTTACAATTCTCCTTTCAATATTGTAGGAGTCTGAGGTGAAAGGGAAGCCCAGAGTTGGCAGCACTGGCCGACGATGAAGCCTGGTATTTGGAGCTCATACAGTTTTCCGGCAGTGTACATGGCAGATAGTTGGATATATTTGGATTAGCCTGATCGAGTAGTATTTCTTTTTTTGAGTAGCAGATGTTTTGAGACCGTCTTGGAACTATTGAGCTTCCTTTATGTCGATTTCTTAGGGCTTGATATGTTCATATGTTGGTAGATAGTTTAATATTTCGAAAAAATATGCTATCATTGCTATGTTGTTGACTTGTTGAGGTTCTTAACTTCAATTAGCAAAATTAGCTTCCATTTGCATATGAATTGTGTTCAGGTTACTAGTGAGTGATAATTTTTGCCTAATGGGCATTAAAATTCGGTCTTTGATGAATTAGGGTAAAATATACTGGAACATTAAAAAAATACTTAAATTACCCAATTTTGTAATGCATTTGGAATAAAATAATGTACTTTCTTCTGACTACTTTGTATTAGTTAAGCATAAAGGAAAGATCTCACTTTTTACATTTTTCGCCGTTAAGGATCTCTAACCTTTTTTTCATCTTTAATGACCTACTTCGTAACATTTACTTTCCGGTTCTAAATAACAACAATTAACCCAAGGTGAGTTAAGCCTTGGTTAATGTTTTTTTTTTATCTTACTCTTTCTCTTCTTGCTAAACCCCTTCTCTCTCTTTTTTTTTTTTCCCTTCCTTTTTAATTTATAACTAGTTTTTGGCCCGGGCGATGCCCCATTGCCCCGGGTCATTTTTTGTATATAAAAAATTATAATAAATTAAAGTGAAATATATTGGTGGTTTTATAATCTTAAAAAATATTATTGAATTTTTCAAAATTTATTATGAAATATGCAATAACCTAAGTTTTATACTTATATTAGCTTGTTTTATTTGTTCCATGAATCTTTATCTACCATTATAAATTTCTTCAAAGTAACCACATGTTGTGGTTTTAAAATTGTTACTTCTTTCGTTCTTTAATACTTGACCCGCTTTGACTTTTACACTATTCACCACTCCTCCTTTAACCGTCTTTTGTGAATAATATGTAAGGAAAAATATATTCATGCATGATCTTTTTGGATTCGTCTCAATAAGTACTATCATAATATATAACTTTTATAATTTTTACTTATGGAGAATTTAAGTTATTGATCGTTAAAGTTTTATATTGGAAAGCGTGATAAAAAAAACAAGTCAAGTAAAAAAGAACAGAGGAAGTATATATTTTTGTGTTACATATTTTAAATACGTAGCATACGAATTATGGATGAGTAAATGAAAGAATGGAATTATATTGAAATCAATTTGCTATATTCTATATATATATATATATATATAAGTTCAATTAAAAATTTAGAATTTATGAACATAAATTTTTTATGAGGAAACATTGATGATAAATTTTAATATGACATGAGTCACATAACCCCACATCATTTATCAAGTCATGACGACACGTGGCAAGAATCATAACACATGTCATGATTACAATTCTTACCATGTTTAATATATATTTAGATTTTTCGATTTATTAGTACTTTTAATTTCAAAGGCGTAGCCGTCGAGGTCCTTGTTCTTCTTCTTCTTCATTTAGTAACTAGTAGAATTTATTTCAAGCTTAATTTATCATATCTTAGGGTCTTCTCTCATACGATTATTTTCAATATAGTTTAGTTCAGCTTTAATAATTTCAGTTCAGTTCAGCTCTAATAAGATCAGTACAGTTCAGCTCCTAATTTCCTTCTTTTATAAAATGTTCATTTCAGTTCAGCTTTGCTCTAATAAGTTTAGTTCAATTCAAATAAATTCAGTTCAATTCAAATAAGTTCAGTTCAATCAATGAAAACAGACTCTTAATTTAGATTGGCATTTTTTGTATTATAGTTTTTCCAGAATTTGGTTTCTTCAATCGATTTTGAGTTTTCTTTTTTTTTTTTTTTTTTAATTTTTGCTATTCAATTTGATTTGATTTTGTTTTCGGTTGGTTTTGAAGCTCAAATTTGTTTTTTTTTTTTAGTTTATGTTTTTTTTTGGGTTTTTCTATACAGTACCCCTGAGGTATTGAATTTTCCAAGCTGTGTCCACCCATTTTCAAAATTTCACGATGTACCCCCAAGGTACATTTAGTGTCTACAATGTAACCCTACCGTTAAATTGCCGTTAATTTATATGTTTCACCACCAAAATCAACCCTCGCGACCCACCACCCTTTACCCACCACCTACCGACACACCCCAGGCCACCTGCGAGCCGAACCCCATCAACGATCCCTACCATCACCCATCACATGCCCACCACCACAGGCCCACCACCACCTAGTGCCACCAAAGAAAGTGTTAGAATGCAATGGAGGAATTTAATTCGAATTCGAATTGAAATTTTGACAAATTGGTTTAGGGCTTTTGTTTCATTGGATTCAAATTGCAAAATTAAGTTGTTAATTGTTATTTTTGTTTTCAAATCAATGAATTTGGTTCAAAACAATAGAAAACCCTAATTTTTCCCCCAATTTTATTTTAATTGTTAAATCATCAATTTTGGTTCAATTAGATCGAGATTAAATACACAAAACTTCTTTTAATTGATTTTTCCAATGAAAATCTGCACGAATATGGTCAATTGGTCGATAACCTGAGCATAAAGCTAAGAACGACGGAGGAGATTAAGGTCGAGGAGTTGAGAAAGAAGGAGAGAGGAGGGTGACGTGCGCGGTGGTGGGTCGAGGAGAGAGGAGCGCGGCTCGGTGGTGCGGCCGAGGGTGCAACGGTGGTGCGGCTGGAGGTGTAGTGGTGGGTAAGTGTGAGGGAGGAGAGAGAGGTGTTTTGTTTTTTTTTTTTTATTTTTGTTTTTTTTAATTAATTAATTTTGAAGTTAACTGAAAGTGAACTATAGTTAACAGAGGGATTAGGGTAGGGTTATTTCGTAGAAACTAAAGGTACCTTGGGGGTACATTGTGGAATTTTGAAAATGGGTGGCCACAGCTTGGAAAAGTCAATATCCCAGGGACACTGTATAGAAAGTCAATTTAGAAAAACCTTTTTTTTTTCAAACAAGAAAGAAACTAATTGAATCAAAAAAAAAAAAAATTGTTTCTTTCTTTGATTTTTGGAAATTTGAATTCGTGTTATTACTTTGAGGTTAATTTTGGATTGCATTGAGTGTTGTTTTGATGGATTTGTTTCATTGTGTGTATAGTTGAGAGAGTTTGATTAGTACTGAATTTTTTTTACTACTTGTAATTGAGTTTTCAATCGTTATAATATTATGCAAATTAATTAGGTGAAATTTTGAGTTAATTGATTAATTTTGATTAATTTCAATCACGTATGGATTATTACTTTGACAGTTACAATGTTTTGAAACCAAAGTATTAAGTTTTTTATGTATTAAATGCTCTAAGGAATTACATTTGTATTTGAAGGACTTCACTTTTTGGCCAGAGCTCAGGTGGGTTATCTAGCCGGAAAACCAACCACATGTCCTTAAAGATGAAAAAAAAGTTGAAGGTACTTGAAAGTGAAAAATCTGAAATGTGAGGTCCTTCCTTTATGCTTAACTCTACTTTCTTTGGACTACTTTGTATTTCCTTGTTTTTTTTATGGTTGCAACACATTTTTTATCACGGTATTTAAGAAAATAGACCTCATATGATGTAATACACTTAAAACGGAGTTAAGGGGTTGTTAGGAGTATAATTAAGTGGGCCATGAGCATTAAATAAAGATAACAGTACCATTTTCACAATAAAAACCTTTTTTTTAATAGTGTGCTGCAACTATTGTGACATTTTCATTTTAGGAATGTGTTGCAACTATAAAGAAACGAAGGAAGTATTTTTGTAGCTGTTTTTTAAATCTGGCACCGAAATGAAATCTTACCTAGTGACCTAGTGTACACTGCCAACACTTGTTGTGCATTAATTTAATTATAAATTTAAATTTAATAGAGTTATTCGTTACAATATAGGCAAATTTAATTTAATAAATATTTTATTTTTGTTCAGTTAGCTTCAAAAACTTTGATACTATGATTTCAGTTCAAAAGTATTAATAAGATTAAAGAAGAAATATAATAGAGAATTAGGATAAATAATTACAGTTAACTAAAATTAATTTCGGTTCAATGAAAATAATCTAAGTTAAACAAATTAATATAATTTCAATTTATGATAATAATTTTAGTTAAGCAAAAATAAGGTATAGAAACACATGACCTATGTCTTATTTGTAGTCAGTCAAATAATGTGGCCATATTTGTTTATAAGAGTAATTAAAAATAACCTTATTTCATCCATAAAAATAATGCAAATTTATTATACTAACTCCGATTCGTATCATATGCAACTTTGGTATATTATTTGTGAGATATAAAAATTCAAAAGTTGCAAATAATACGAACCAATGGTAATACGAGTAAAATCAATTACAATAAAAAAAACAAAACCTTATTTGTTCATTTGAGTAACCTTATTCTTTAATTTTGACTAATTTAATAAAACACTCTATTTTCAAGGTATCATATTTAATCATCACTATAACGCTAATACTCAACTGTCTTATATGTGAAGTGACACACCATCAACTAACATATATTACCTCCGTTTTTTTTTAGTTGACACGTTTTGACTTTACCACTATTCACACACTCACCTTTGACCATGTGTTGTGCTTTATACGTAATGAAAAATATAGTCATGTGAGATCTTGTTAGATTTGTCACGATATATATTTTCAAAATATTAACTTTTCATAATTTTTGCTTATCAGTAATTATAGATCAGATATGAATGGTTAAAGTTGTGCATTGACAAACGTGACTTAAGAAACGTGTCAACTAAAAAAAACGAAGGAAGTATGAATTTGTAGATAATATCCGATAACAAATCTATACTAATATAATAAAAGGCATTACTAAGAACGTTTATGTGTCACCTAGACCCCCTCACTACGCCACGTTACCTACTCAAATACTCATTGCACTACTTTTGCTTTCATGCACTTATAATAATGAAAAGTTATCCACAAGATTTAAACACACAACCATTCTAGAGCTAAGTGTTCTTACCACCAAGCTATGTGATATTTATGTAATTTTTTAGATATAAAATAATATGTAGCAAATATATGAAAACATGTTTAATTATTACAATATAATAAAGGTCATAACTTACAACGTATATTAATGATCAATTTCATATAATAATTAGGGACGTCGCCTGGGACTAAAAATTAGTTTTTCTTTTAAATGGAGTAATTTAAATGCATAAATCTATAGTATTATATAAAGACAAAGAGTTTTTTAAGTGATAAATTTATTAATTCTCAAAATGTACGTCTCAATTTGCAAAAAAATACTTTATTTATTTATTTATATATTTAATCTACAATAGAAAATTATTTTTATTAAAAAAAACCTATCATAATTACCCTTTAATAAATGTTTCACTTCTTCCATATAA